TGGTTGACATTTTTTGTGCTTTTATCATGAAAAAATGGAAACGTCAAAGATTAATAAAAAGCTATTTTAGCATGCGCAGGGTTTCCTACACTGAATACTTATCGCACATTTTTATGATTGTTAACTCGCTTTAAATTTTTGTTAACATAGAGAAATGTAATTAACAAATACAGTTTTGGGCTTTAAAAAATAAATATAATAAAAAAGGTCTTTAGTCTTTGCCACCGGAAATTCATTAATCGATACGAGGCAATAGAAAAATTGCGTAGTAATAAATCTTAAGTGGTATATTGATATTTTGCCGGAAATTTTCAGTAGTTAATTAATAAAATTTTTTATGAACTTTGAGGCATTTCGAGTGGCTGTATTATAAGTGGTATTAACTCAAGTATTTTGTATTGCAAACGAGATTTAGAAGTGTGAATTTAAAACATAAAACGGTAAAAAAGAAATACAAAATTAGAATAAAGATAAAAATACTAAATATAAATAATACAAAAACTGAAGAGTTGGATTTTTTCATAAAAAGCTTTCGCAAGTTTTAAGCATTTTTGGTTCAATTAGAAATGGTTAGTACATATATGTGTTTGTAATGTTGAAGTTTAGTTGAATTAAAATATTTTTGGATCAAAAAAGTTTTAAAAGGGTTTAGTGTGGAATATGTGAATTAGTTACCAAAGTGCGCTTTGGCGCAAAAAGTTAAAAATTCGACATTTTAACAAAGAAGTCTTACAATGCAATAAAAAAAAAAAATTGTAATGCCACACTTGAATACCTAAACACTAATGAGCCGATTAGTTTAATTTACGAGCATATGTTTTTGCACTTTTCCCCACTTGCGGCAGCAGACTAATATGCCAGAGAAACTGGAATGTTTGTGGATATATGTAAAGAATATGTGTGAATATATGTAAAGCTCTTCAAGTAATGGCAATTTTGTCCTCTTCATTGAAAACATATAAATACATATAATCACATGCATTATTAGCTAGAAATTATTTTTAAGCATTTCGCAAAAACAAGTGCAGTGCAAATTAATTATAATCTTATAAATGGTAAGTACCCATTTCCGCTGGCGTTTAAAATTTTTCGGCGAATTGAAAAAAGAGAGGGATTTTAAATAAAAATCCAAAAATAGAACGCTTATATTAACCCTTATGTTGATAAAGCGTAACACAAAATAACAGCTTAGCGCATTCTTATTTTATATATACGAGTATATGTATATTATATATGCATATGTATGTTGGTATGATTTTCAATCGCAGCTAACACTACAGCGATTCTTACCGCATGTCGCCTCACTGATGTGGATTTTGTCCAACACAGGTGGCAACAAAGTGCGCGATGCGATTAAGTGCCCATGTCCAGCACAATTCACGTAACCGTTATCAGTCGCGTAGGTACGGCACACTTTCTGAATGCATTGAACAGATAAGATAATCGAATACAGCTGTGAGTATATGACATGTACAGATGTAAAAGCTATGAGCAATGTTGACAATAATTTATTGAAAATATTTTATTAACATTTCAAATGCTTTGTAATGGGACCAGTTGGTGGTTTTTTTATTACTTATTTTTAACACTTTAATCAGCTATTGGCTTTTCACGCTTCCTTATCAGCTCGTGCGCATTGTTGGACGTATTCATTAAGTAAATTCAGTTAAGAGGGAGGACATAAATACAAACATACAAACTAGCAAACAAAGTTAGCCACAATTAAGTTAGGTATGTGCTGGCAATAAATAACGGATGTGTGAAATATATTGAAACCATAAGTCGTTACAAGCATGCCGCGGGATTTATCAAGTTACACACACACACACACACCAACACAGCTAACAGGCTCAATAAAATAGCAACAGGTTAATAAATCAAAATGTTTACAGTTATCAATGTTTAATTAATTTGTTGGTGATATGTATATATCGTTATTATACATATATCTGCAGATCGCACGTCGGACTAATAAATCATATACGTGAGCTTCTGACTGCAACAAAAAGCAATGAGTTTACTGTCTATACTTCTATTATTTATAGTACAATCGTACCCAGTTACTATAACATATTTAATGCCGCTTTGTATAGCTAAATATCAAGCTAAATCTAGCGCTTTTTGACCTACATATATATACCTATATATATAATATATATATATACATACATACATGTATGCGTATGGAGCTGTGTATGTATACATATGCGTTTGCGAAGTTAGCTTTTGTATACACGAGAGTTTATTGCACTGAATACATAATTCGATACGCCTAGTCAAGGGCGTGCGCAAGAAACCGCCTGCGTCCACTTTAGGGGGTGTTGTGTCCGGCATTACGTCACCACTGCACTTCAAACTAGCAGAGCTGATAAAATATATCGGTATATTTACATACGACTACTTTTACTTTCAAGTCGAAGAATTTTCGTTAAATTGATAGAAATAGAAAACACTACAATAATCCATATCAGAAGAGAGTTTGAATATCACTTGAAGTGGGGCACAATAGAGCTTAGGCATACCTTATAATTTTAACCCTCTTTCGTTTTACGCGCAGTTGCTCTACGCTACATTTTTAACAGAAATATTTATTACTAAACAAGTGTATTTGTTTATTTATTTACTAGATATTTTTTTATTTATTTACGAGTTTATTTTATTAAATAAGTGTTATATATAAGTCGTGGAAGCAAATAGCAGGTGAATATGCATAAATTGGTTGGTTATTGCTCTTAATGATCGTAAACACCGTTTTATGAACGATAACATGCTAGTAAATGTAATCATTTTACATATGAATATATGTATGTACAATTATATATACATATACAAGTACATGTGTTTTTGCTGTTATTTAAAAATACTTTCATTACAAATGGGTATACTTATATAATAAGGTGCTGCATATTTTGAAGCTGAGTCTGTCCTGTTATTTAAACAAAAAATAATGAATATTTAAAAAAAATTGTATGAAAGTAATAATCATTAATTAAATTTCTCGCATTTAATTTTGATATTTTTTTATAATGAAATTTAAAGTTCTTTAATGCTAATTAAGTTATTTTATTTCATATTCCTATTAATTTATTTAAAATGATTATTAATTAAATGTTTTGTTGCTGTCTTTAAAAAAATATATATATATTATTAGTTATTAAATATTGCCTTCCAGTGAAATTTAATTTTTTCCTAACCTCAAATTCATTACAAATAACCTAAAACTCTACATTTTTAATAATAAATTGTTCGAAAGGCCTCAAATAAATTTTCAGACGCAATTAAATGAATGTAAATGTTTCGGGAAAATTTTTAATAAAAAATTAAATATTTTTCGAAATCTCAAACTAATTTTCAGTTAAAATTATTTTAATGTAAATTAATAAAAAATTTGCAAAAAAAGGGTAAAACAATGTTTAATTAAAACAATAAAAAAATTAAATTTTATTATAGTTTTGTAAAAAACAGCTTAACTGTATTTATAATAAAAGTTTTCTCAAAATATGAATTAAATTAAATCTTTGTCATAACCTAAAATTTCCATTTTATATTACATAATATTTAATTAAAAAATTAACATTAACTTCATCATGTTATATCTCACTTATAGTATAAAAGGGTGTAAAAAGATTTATATCTTGATCTTTATGGGTCGAAATGGTTATGGGGAAACAAAAAAGTTTTACATACAAATACTTGATTTTGAACGTTAAGTTTGTATGACATATACGGACGTGTGTATAATTTCAGATCGATATCTCAAAAATTCAATGACTAGTTCGCGTATATGCAGACGGACTAAATCGACTTAGCTCGTCACGCTGATTATTTATTTATATATTTTATAGGTTCTGTTCTTGTGATTTCCTACTGCATGTTACAAACTTAGTGATAAACTAAATATACCCTTCGAAGGGTATAATTAATATTTTTGCTTATTCTTATTACAGTTAAGGCAAATCAAAACGAATTGATTTTTGCGTACATATACAGATAACGGTACCTATATGACTCATTCTTTAAAAATGTTTTTATTTACAAAATTTTTGCATGCGTCAGAAGTAATTAAATAAAAATAATTAAACATTTGATTAACGTCATTTGGTTTCTCCAATAACAATGGACTTCAAAGAAGCTCATTTCGCTATCTTTTGATATTGAAGCGTGTGTCAATTGTTTTATAATCTTTCGTTCAGTTTATTTGTAATTAATTTTAGCATTTCATGGGAAATTTTAATTATGTACGTAACATTTAGCATTCTACCAACAAAATTTATGGCACTCTGAAAAGCAGGTAGCTTCACTAATTAGAAAATTCACCAACGCGTGTGTGTGTGTATGCACAAAATTTATGTGCATAAATAACAATCCATGAGATGACAAAAACAAGAAAAAACTCATAAGAAAATTATCCATAAATATTTAACAGTTGTAAAGTGAATGACTGGAGTTATTTGAAAAATACTAAAGCCCGTTGTTAGTGCACTTCGCATTTCCAATTTGCAGTAAATGACAATTTGATGCACATACACACATATATACTAATAATGTTTATACATTTTTATTAACAATATTGTATTTTTAGATTTATTGCAATTCGAGCTATTTAATCTTTTTAGTAAATCCCCGAGTGTGCGTTGGCGAAAACACTTCCACGCCCATCTAACGCATTATGTGATGAATATATGTAACTCTATGTGTTTTTGCAACTGATTCAGCATTTATGTACAAATTATAAATCCAAATATTAGTTTAATAACATTGTCTAAGGTTATTGCTAAAATGCTTAGAAATAAGCAAAGTAACAGTTACGCGAACAGTTGCAATTAATTGTTCTTGTTTGTGTTTAACTTGTAATTCTCAAACTGTTTAAAGAATATTAAATTGCGTTCACATTTCTATACGAATATTGATTTATTAAATCACTGTAGCTGCACTAAGTCCCATAGCTTATAAAAAAAAAAATATATAAATATAATAGTTAATTACAACAACCAACTTACCCTTGACATCAGGCGATCTGCGCCATACCCTTCATTATCCTTAAATATAATATCACTATTATAGTTCATCACTAAGTCTTTAAATTTCGGCGAATTTCTCTTAATGGCGCCCTCGTTGAGACCGGAAGCGCCCAACGTGCGTTCGGACATATTCGGCACGTGCTGTTTAAAAACTAGCGGCGTCAGTTTGCGATACTTACGCGGCCCACCAAAACCCCGACCCGGACCACAGCCCTCTGCAGCGCTGAAGAGCGTGCAGATCAGTAGCACAGCGCATAGGCGACGCATTGTTAGGCGGCGGCTTTGCACAATGCCGGCAACATCAACAGTTGGTGCAATATGATCTGCTTTGTAGGCGCTCTTGACCTGAGCGCCGGCGGAATCTGGTAGCTCAGTTGCGGTATTTAATAGCCTTATATGACAAGCACCGGGTGCTGGGGGTGCGACAAGCGGTTGTTGGGTGATGTTGCTGTTCTTATTGTTGGACATGATCTGGTTAGTCACGCGACTGCGCTTCTTACGCTCCGTTAGTTTTTTGCAAATTTTACAACACTTGTTGTTAGTGTTGGGCAGTTGCAGGCGTTGCTCAATATTATAATCGGAATATGACATGAGAGCGGGTTCAAACATGTTTTTTTCAATATAAAATGCTGTTGTTATTGTTTTATAATGAAAAATAAAATGGTTTGCGTCGTTTTTCAACGTACTTCGTTTGATTTTAATTTTTTTGTTTTAATAATATAAATTTTAATTTTTGCAAAAATATTTATTGAGATTTATCATATTTAATTTCATAACACTAATTATTACCAATGATTTTGTACACAGTATATTCGCATGCGCATAAATTGTCACTTGAATTTGCAAAAAAAAAAAATCTTTTAAAAAATTTTGCAAATTAATTAAATTTAATTTTTTTGAATGTGCAAAATTCTACACTTTTCCTCTCGTCCTGCGTTTAATTATCAATAGATTTGGCACGTTTTTATATAAGCGAACTGAACGACGTCTCATACGCATGCACGTTTATTTATTTGGCCACTAATTAGCTGCAATTTGTGACTTTTACACTTTCGCATGGACCGTGTGCACGATTGCGACTAACAAACCTTCGCAATTGTGTTATTAACTTCAACTGTGGCCGGTACTCACAGACTGATTAACAAATGACATTTCGACGCTGTTTCGACGAAGTTACTGTGTAGTAGAACTCAGCCGATGGACGTCGACGCCGCCGATAGCGTCGTTACTGCTGCGGCTGACGTTCGCATGCTTACTTTCCTTCGTACTTATCGTGTTCATCCCGGCCGCGTTCACCAAGCGCCCAAGCACCAACACAGGCGAAAGCGAGCAGCACCCTCACACATACACACTTCGAGCCGACTCGAAAGAAATTCATTTTCATATTCCAGCGCTGCGCATTTACTGATAACCGAAGACAGGCGCGCGCAGACAGGTAACCGAAACACACACCGACGGAGTGAACACTGAGCCTAAGCGAACACACACACACACACACATTCAAACGCGTATATAGACGTATTGATGCAACGCGCGTTGCTAGTGTTGGTGGTTAGGTGCGTAGCGCAATGTGCAAGCCGTGCATGAACTGTTATGGACGACACATACACACACACACACACAAGCGCACATTTCCAACTCGGTTTGGCCGCGCCGTCTCATTGGACTCTTTGGTTTGCCTTTTGGCTGCGTGTTCATCAGCGCGTTCTTGTTGTTGTAACAAGTTTTCGGCCATCAGCAAAGTGGTTCGCTGTATGGTCGACTTGGCGCATGTGCATAAGAGAGACGAGTAGTGTGTCTGCAGAAGAAGAACATACACATTGCTACACATTCGATTAACGAACGCAACCAATTGGCACTCACACATACATGCTAACGGTTGATTGCACAAATACCAAGGCAAACATGTATACGGGTTTGTGGCTGTGTGGGTGCTTGTGGGTAATAAGTTTGTATATAAGCGACCAGTGAAATTGGTCCAGCGTCGTCATCTGTGAATTTAAGCAAAGTCAAGAAGGCAGGCCGGCTGCCTTTAAACCAAAGCGCTACAGGTTTGGATTTTTTCACCTGCCTGGACCGTGCCCCGGCTTCTTACAAATGTTAATGAATTTTAATGAAAACTATTTCAATGTTACTTGCAATGCAGACAGACGAGGTTCCGCGCAAAGTATTTGTTAATGGTTTTTGGTGAAAAGCAAAACGCATTCAAAATTTTAGGGTTGCCATTGAGAGCGAGAATGGAAATCATACCTACTATAGTGTGTATATAAATCTTGTACATTTTATTTATATAACCCAGTTAACAATTTTTTTATATATTTTTTTTTTTATTAAGTATTTATATTATGTTTTGTATGTATTTATATTAATTTTTGAAAAATGTTGAGATTTCAAATAGTTGTCCTTGAATTTTTATAGGTTATGTTAGACAACTATTACTCTCTCGGTATTCATTGGTTCTTTCTACAATTTAAGTGATGGTTGTAGTGATTGGAGGTGCACACTCACACTACGAAGGAGCTGAATGTCGTTGGATATCAAAGGACGTCCCTCAGTATCCAATGGAAAACATTGGTTGACCTTTTACTTCACTATTTCTTAAGAAGATATATTACTACCTTGGTGCAGACTGAAGAAACCACCAATAGCTGTACATAAAAAAATCATACAATAGGCACTCACGATCATTGGTAAATTATTCAGTTCCATGTCTGTGAATACCCTAACTTTAGTATCTAAATGGCATAAAATATTATTTTAAACGATTTTTAGCTTAATGCCATTTAAGAAATATGAATTTCTTCTTCTTCTGCAGAAAAAAGTATTATTGAATTTTCATACTCTTCATACTGCCTTCTGAACCCATAACCATATATACTGATGCAATAAGAAGTTAAGAACACCCTTATACATACATGTCACTAGATTTGCCTTACTCAGATTGTTTTAGTTGCTTGGGTCACGGTAGCATCTAACAATTATACGAGGGCACTTAAATATGCCAGTATGTTCCGCTTTTTTTCACAATTCTATTTTAAATGCAACCTTCTGCTAAGTTCTAAGTTTAATCGCATGACCAAATATTGTTCCAAAACAGGTATCGAACCTTTAGTTTGTGGCGCATCAGAGTCCAGGGAATGTTGCCAAGCCAAAAATACGTCAATTAGTTTGAAAACGATATTTAAAGATCGGAAACAAAATGTTTTCGATTTCTACGTAAAGACGATTTTCAGCACCAAAGATATTGAAAAATTATCAGATTAGAACTTATTTTACTTAAAAATACTTAAATTAAAATTTTACTTAAAAATATGTTCATCTGAAGAAATTAAATGTGTTTTAAGGCGTTATATCCACTTGTGAATTTCAAAAAATCGATTGTTGCTACATATATTTGAAAATATTCTTCGAAAATTGGCAGTTGATCCGTCAAATAGTTTCGGAGATATGAACGTATTTGTAAGAATTGTTTAAATTCCTAAAACTTTAAACACGATTTCTTGAAAAGCTGTTTTCAGAGCTAATGAAAAAAACCATTAATCTTGAAATTTTCACACTTACTTCTAATTATTTATATATAGTTGTCAGATAATAATTCCAGGAATAAATTCGATTTTTTGAGCTACTCTGAAGTGTAATTTTTTCACAAGAAATTCAAATAGACGCCGATATTTTAGAACGCTTTCGTACGTTTACGCCATAATTTACTGAGTAATAATTATTAGTAACCAATAAAAGATATATATTAATTTTGATATATGTTTGCATATTCATGTACATATGTATAGACTATATTAATGGGCATATGAATGCGATGCATAATCTTTTAATGGTTATATTCAGAATACATATATTGCCATTGATATATTGCGTTGGAATCCATGTGTTTTAAAAGTATGCTTTTATTACAAAAAACCAAAAAGGAATAAAAATTTAAAATGGAAATCATAATTAGCCACTTTGCCATCATCGCAAGCTGCATTTTGAAGAAAAATCTGTAGAATGTGCAGCAGTTGCACGTCCACCTTCGCCGTGATTACTACCACATACGTAGCAGGACAAACACCATAACTGACACACACACACATACAAAACACTGAAATTGCCATCGATCGAACGATGAACGATGAATAAAATCGAAAAAATATATAAATGTCTGTATGTGTTTGGGTGTGTTGATGATGACGGTGATGAGCCAGGCTGTGAGTGTTCCTGCCCATTTGCTTGTGTTGACGCTACCGTTGTGTCTGTAACTGTGCATATTTCTATGTGTCGATGTGTGTGTATCAATTCGTGGCCAAGTGTTGGAGTGAAGGGGCGGAGCTGCTGTAGGAGCATATTTGTGAATGGAAATAAGAATGAATTCACATGAGAGCCAACACAATAAGCAGCAAAAAAAGAAAAACCAAAACCAAAAAAAAAAAAAAAACAACAGAAATGCACACACACATACCCGCGCCACTGCAATAAAAATGAAAATAAATTAAAAACGAACGACAACAAGGTACCGTGAGAGCAGCATGGAGGCCGCAGTTAAAATCGCATTTGATGCCACGAAACTTTATACGAGCCGAAGATAAATGGAAGCGCATATGCTTTAGATGTTTGTTGGGGCTGCTGGCTGCTGTTGTTGCACTTTTTGTTGGCTCGCTATTGTTGATACTGGCGGCATGCTGTAAGAGTCCACATACACATACATATATACTCGTATATACATACTATGTGTGTTTAGTTGGTATTTTGGGCTCCTGCCGCTACACTTTGTGGTTAATACTCAGCAGCACAAAGTATCTACGAAAATATTTCATGTTCGCATGCTCGCTGTGGCATGAGGAGTGAACCATTTTAATTTAACATTGCCGCAATCACGTTGGCTTATATTGTTACAGCTATTGTAAGCATATTGCTTGATTGTATGTACATAGTACATATGCATATGTATGTAATTGTGATTGTGTGTGAGCGCATCTAGAAGTTAATGCCATTGTTATCTTAACTTGTTGTCATTATATTCCTGTTTTCGCTCGATAATTGTGACGCAAATACGGCAAAGTCGGTGAAACGGCAGCAAATGCTCCGGAAAATTGAGACAATTATTTCATTTGCACAATTACTCATGTGAACTACATATATACATTAGCCAGAAAAAATCTCCGCTCATGATCAGCAAATGCTTTTAAAATTAAATGAAATCCATACAGCTATAATATTTTCAATTAATTAGCCGTTAAGTTTGTAACACCCAGAAGGGGCGTCAGAGACCATATAAAGTATATATGTACGTACATATGTCTGTCTGTACATACGCGAACTAGTCTCTTAGTTTTTGAGATATCGACTCGCGATTTTGTATACGTCTCAACCGCCGGTATTGGACCACTATATACTTGTATGGACATTTTTTTAATTTGACAAGATATTTTCACGAAATTTGAAAAGGATTATTGTCCAAAGCAACGGTACCATCTCCGAATAAATAGTTTAGATCGAACCACTTTGGCACATAGCTAGCATACACACTGACCGATGATAACTAAAATATATATCTACATATTATTTAAACCCGAATCCAAATTGCTGAGCATTTATCTACATTTAACGATTAATTAAAATAGTAAAAAAAAATTTTTTTTAAAGCATATATGATATAATAAATACATTATTTTACATATTTTTTATAGTTTTTCGGAAGCGTCATTGTGATTAAAATGATCATTTTAGCACATAATTTTTCACACAATTTAACAATTCTCTTTGCTTTTGGTCGCGAATCGAACAAGCAGCATGAATCAAATAGACTGATATATTAAGTAAGGATAGAGGTGCAAGCGATTAGATAATTTTTTTAAAATACTCATATAATCTCTCAAATATAATTCAGTTTGACAACGTTGTTGCTTTAAAGTGGTAAAATTTTTGACAGAAGAGCAGAGCTCAAAGAGTGCCTGTGTAAAAGTGTCGAATCGAAGACGGCTTCTTAATATTACATTTTAACGTGCTTTCGGCCTTAATGCATTTGATACATATTTAACAACTCGAACTAAAATATGGATAGGCACTGAAACCTCGGAGATATTATAGACTCAATAATTTTTTCATATAAATTTCGTATCGTCCT